TAATTGCTGCATCGTCTGCGTAACACACCATACCAATTATTTTGTTGCCCATTATATATCCGAGATTAAGAGATGTTACTTTGTTGATAATTTTGCCCATGAGAAGATTAAACAAGAAGGGGCTTAAACTGTCGCCTTGTCTAATTCCTCCCGGTGTTGGAATATTTTCAGTGAATTCGTCTCCTGCTCTAACTTTGGTTACGTTGGTGTTATTTAGGTTATGGAGTATCTTTGTTTCATTTTCTATTAATATATTTAGAATGTCTCCCAGGCGAACTCTGTCAAATGCCTTCGTCAAATCAATGAAGCAAATATACGCTGGCATGCCGAACTCTATAGCTTTTTCTTTTATTTGTTTTATTATAAATACTGCGTCTGTTATAGACCGCCCTTTTGTAAAACCTTGTTGTTCTTCAGCATTAGTGATCAGAAAAATAATAATCATTAATGGATATAATCTACCATACTTTAACAGGATGTAAGGTTTTACCTGCTTCATGGTATCTATGTATATCTCACATCAAATTCGGAAAGTAGATTCAAAACCGTCCAAATGTTTGGAAGAAAATAATTCATCTAGCATTTTATTTTTTTTAAATTTAAGGCATATGTGAGATATTTTTAGGATGTTAGATCTTAATAGCTTTGAATAGTAAATAAGTAAATAACAATGAATTTCAATATCGATCTGTAAGAGAAGGACCTTACCCCCGATAAACAAATGAACGATGGCTCATACAATTATTGGTGTTGGAAAATTAAAGAATAATAAGATAATTCCATTTATTTTAAGCAAACGTTATCTTATCCATTTTATTGAAGTTCAATAACTGAAGTCAACAATGATGAATGACGTGCCAGTCGGATATTGGTGCGTATTATTTTTATTATGCATTTTTTAAGGTTTCTAACAAACAAGAGGAAGCATTCGTAATAAGAGGTATTCAAATGGTGTTCTTTTTCGAATTTTAAATTTCTTTTAGTTACTAAAGTCATTAAAAAATAATGTTGAACATCTATTCGTTCTTCAGAGAAGTATATCTATTCGAAAGACCCGTTCAGTTGTAATGTAGACAATTTGAATGACTAGGTAACAGTAATTAAAATCACAAAAATAGGTATTTTTATTGTTTTAATACAAGTTTCTTTTTATTTAATTACCGTAAAATGGGGTGAATAAAAACAGTTTTTGAACATAAATTTCATAAAGTATTATGAGATATAGGGAATTGAAACCTACCTTGGTTTATGGGCCTTTTAGTCCTCTACAAACGTACACCATGGTTTTTTTCTTTAACGTACAAGAAAAAAATTTTAAAAATTAAAACATGCTGTTTCTGTTTACCCCATTGATTGGAATGAATAGAAACAGACACTGTTTTCCAAGTATATTTCAATTTCAGAACTTGTGGGGCTTATAGAAACAGTCGGCACTGTCATGCGGTGAAAAAATACAGCACTTGTTTTGATGAAAAAATTTATGTAGTGTAAATATCAAATTATAAATGACCAAATATCAAATTACAAACTACAAAATGAATTATTGCTAGTCAAGGTAATTTAATTAATAGATGGTAAAGTTACTGAGATCATCGAGGAAACTAATGCTTGTTTTCATACAAGAGAAGGACGACTAGATGCTTCAACTGATGGCATGAATTTCTTCATTACATCGTCCGTCAGGAAAAAACACACTTCTTCAGTTGGTAAAAAAGTGTTGTAGGGAATTGATTTTTTGTAAAATATTCAAACACAATCATTTTCTTTAAGGTGAGAGATTTTGCTAATGTACATTCAAAACACATTTTTAGTTTTCCCATATACTTTCACAATTGCAACGTCATCAACCTGGAGGTTGATGAGTTCTTGAGCATAGTTTGCCAAATCAGATTCTTTGGGGTCAGATAGAATTAGTTCTGCATCACTCTCTTGGAGAGACTACTCTGATTCTTCTTCTCTTCTTCTATTCTTCTTAGGAATTAACATTTTTATGCTTTTTTACTTTTCCATATCTTTTTGACATGCTTGTTTTTTTATTGTTAGAAGTACTAGAAGTCCCATTGTCAGCACCACTGGTAGGCTCGACCTAAACTTCCCCGTGTGAAGGCAGGCCACTCGAGTAGAATACCTTCACGGCTTCTCTTGCTTGTCATAAAAGGCGACTAAATGAAGCAGCTGTCCGCTGTTCACTGCCCAAATTCCTAACCTGTCCCTGTGTCATAACAAAAACTCCAAACGAAATCAACATACACGTCCTGATACCCAAAACTATATCCGAGGAGAAAACCTTCACTAATACTAAAACCAGTTGAAAAAACCACCAAGAACAAATGAATATGCATAGAATAGGCGGCTATGCATCATTCTAATATATCGTCACCCTAACCTCAAGGTGTAACACAATCGTGCCGAAGAGGTCCATGGTCCAAGGGGAAAAGTGGGTCACAAGCGATGCCCTAAGGAGAAGGCGAACCGAAGGGGATTATAGTATAGGGAGTATGGGCGCACTGCCCCGCTGGACCAAAGAATCGACCCAACTCGTGGGAAGAAAAATGAAGAAAAAGATAGTCGAGGGGAGAAAAATGATGAGCAACAGGAGAAGAACGAAGGAGAAACAAGAACATAGGTGAAACATTGGAGGAGAATGGCAGTGAAAACGAAACGGGGGATAGTAATGACGAGAGTGAATGGACGACCAACATTAACAGAAAAAAGAAAAGGAAATCGCACGGAGAGAAAGACATAGGAGCTGGTGGAAATAAAAATGAAAGTAAGATAAATTTAAAAAGAAGTGAAATAGTGAAAGGAATGTCAAAAATGAAGGGATGCATCGACGAGTTAGTGAACCTAACAAAGGCGGTGGCAAATATAAATAATGAGACACAACAGGGAGCCGCAAACGTACGCAGATTTGGTGCGAAATGGAAAGAAACATTAGAGAGCTAATGTATAGTGCTACAGAGGATATTGGAAAAAGGGAATGTATAAGAAGATGCGTAACAACAATATAAGAAAATGGATATGGCAGAAAGCGCCGAGGAAATAAGTGAAGTACTAGATGAAGAATTGCCAGAGGAGGTTTACGAGAAAGTGATCATATGTAAAAAAGGTATTTTGGAGCCACCGGACGATGTGGCAATCTTGGTAAGAAAGTAATCATATGTGAAAAAGGTATTTTGGAGGCACCTAACGATGTGGCAATCTTGGTAACAGAGGATGCTGCTGACACAAGAGTGAAGGGGGATTTTAGTGCAAGGTACCCAGACCTCCCCGGATTATACGTAGAAGAAGATAAAAATGGAAGGGAAAATGAAGGAATTGGAAAATGTATCAAATAACATGTATAGTAGAGGAAAATGGGAGAGAGAGAACATCAAAAAAAATTGGCCACAAGCTGAAACAAAGGAGAGGAGAAGAACCAATGGCTGTTAAATTCTTGGCAGCAGTCAGGAAGCTATTCGACCGTATCGAAAGAATGGATAAAGAAAAGATAGGGATAGCAGCATCAGCAGCATTAGGAGTAGAAAAATCAAGAAAAGTGCTAGAGTGGGCAGCAAAAGGAAAGAAGATAACGGCAACGATATACGGCAAAACGTTTAAGGAAAGGCAAATAGTATCCACAAAAAAGAAAGGGATGGTAATCATCACAAAACCGAAGGACAAGCCCTATGCTGAACTTGTAAAAGAGTTAAGGGAAGAGCTAGGAGAAAGAGAGGATGTCATCATAAACAAGGTTAGACAAACCAGACAAGAAGGTGTAGTCCTAGAATTAGTAGTAGCAAAAGGTGGAAGAGTAAAGAAGGGTTTGATGCTGGCACACATGGATGGCCTAACCAAAGAAAAAGACATCGTTGAATCGGTAGACAAATTTGCTGGTAGGAAGCATGTGAAGTAGTTGGAAAAATAAGGACAAACAGGGGAGAAAGTAGAATTTGTTATGTGGAGGTGGATGAGAACATGGCCAGAAGACTTTTAGTAGTAGAAAGCATAGAAAGATTGAGATGGAACACTTCACCTTCTAGGACCGAGGTATGTTTCGAACATTTGGATCACCCCGCCCTCATAAATAAAAGAAGAAAAAAAAAAGGTTAGACCTGAACTGGATCTTCTGGAATTAGAAAATCTGCCACAGAAATACTTTTCCCAGGCTTAGAGAAACTTTTACACCTTTTTTGCTAGGTGCAGTTGCTTCTGGTTGTCTGATAGCTTTCAGTAGTTCCTTGAAAGTGTCGTCAATAGTAGCGACAGTAGTTGTGGCTGTTAGAGTTGTGGCTCCTGAGTCATCTAAAGAAACTATCTGTTGTTGATGACTTGTATAAGGTTGGTAGAAAACTTATAGGTCTGTAATTTTTGATATCTTCTTTGCTACCTTTTTTATGAATGAGAATTATCTTTACTGTATTCCAGGGGTCTGGTATGCATTTGTTCTTAGGAGGTTCGTAAATATACCTTCTAAGATTTTCTAGGTTTTTTTGTCACCGTATTTAAGCAGTTCCACTGTTATGCCATCTATTCCAGCTACTTTGCCGCTTTTTATTTTTCTAATTGTCGATTCCACTTTTTTCGGAAGGACTTCTAGTACATCTCCTATCAGTCCTACCTATGACTCCTAGTTACTGCTTGCTTCTTGTATATCAAGGGTTTTGTATAGTTTGCTGTAGAATTTAGTCAAGAGTTGTATTATTTCATCTCTGTCTGTAATTCTGGGTTTTTCGTTTGTTAGAGCAACGATTTGCTTCTTCCCAATGAATAATACTTTTCTGGTTTTCTTGTAGTGTTTGCTGTTTTCGATAACATTTTCTGAAAGTCTTTGATTGTATTTTCTTATGTCTTCCTTAATATTTTCCTTATTGTCTTACAAAGTTCTGTATATTGTATTCTTTGTATGTTGCTACTTACTTAGCATTATTCTAGTTTTATTAGACAGTTTTCTATGTCTATTTTGTAAGTGAATATCATTTTATTTTCTTATTTCTACTATTGTTGCACTTCTAAAAGACTTTAAATTTAATGGCTTTTAATAAACAAATTATTTTCCACTTAAGTTCACAAATTTAAGTACTTCTAAATTATATAATCCTATTTTTCAATAATACAATTGTTTAGAAAGAAACAAATCCTATCTGTAATTAATACTTAAAGTACTGACTAAATACAAACACAAAATTACTAATAATGATCCTGATAACATCTCCGATCTACTAGAATGATTATCTTGAAGATCGTCTCTGTTGAAATCTCTTCCAAATATACCGAACGATAGCAAACGACTTTCATTTTTATTTAGTGAATGTCTTCTGATTATAGATTCCTTACTTTCATGTTTTTCCCAAGAAGTATATTGAGGTAATATTGGTTTCAGAGAACTCAACAAAGAATTAGGATATTGAATTCGACTTTGGTCTAACGTAAAGTTAGCTTCGACAACTATTGATTTGAAAGTAATGGGCCAAGAAACTTCTGTATAGTTGGGAAACCTGAAATTTTAAAATAAATATCATTTAACAATTATATTATTTTATCAAAAAAATAAGAATATAAGTTGGACATATTATGTCTAATATAATACATAGATACAAGCAAATATAACCCTATTAAACAATATAAAATAGCTTTAATTAATTTCTTAAAAATTTGAGTCTTGAAATGGTTTGTATGATTTACCTTAAAGCACAAGATGATAATGATTCATTCAGACACGCAACAAGTCCACAAGCTTCAATACTGGCATTCCTTATACCAGAAAACGACCTTATACCATTAAAAGCTGCCATATGATACCTGTAGTAGTTCATTAGTTTTGCAGTTTCATTTACTACCATGGTTATATTGAAGTTGCAACAAATTTTAACATTATCACCATTGCATACTTGTTCTACAATATTCGATTGATTTTCTTTCAGTGGAATTGATGTATGATCTACAAATTTCAAATTGTTAATATAATACAGAAAGAAATGCAAACAGAAATTAGAGAATATATATAAACGAACACGGTTTGTATAAAATAAACTTTTGAAGTAAGTTTTATGATAATTAAAATATGAAGAAAAAAAAATAATATTTAAAAATTAATAAAAAATTAAAAAGTTTTAAAGCAATTTGTAGTATATGATACAAGCTCGCCAATTTTCAATGCTATTATTAAACCCTAAAGTAAGGAGAACCCACCTTCATAGTACCTTCCTAGACTGGTTTAGTTTACCTCTCAGTTGTATTCGTAACGTCCTAATCCTAACATCATAATTGTGCTTACATACAAGCGTATTGTATCATATTGATACATTGCGACATAACGTGTAAGTGTTGTTTTACTTTGCACGTATTTTAGGCTATTTTCGGCCTCCTTATTATAGGTGAGTGTTATTTTATATTTTTATTTTTAGCATAATGGCTGCAAAGCGGACTTACAACCTAAATAATCCGAATGATGTAGAATATCTCTTTATTAAATTATCTCTTTTAAATTTATGTTAAAAAAAGACGAAAATGAAGATGCCCCCAACCAAGTCAAAGATTTCGAGGATGAACACAGATGCGGAAGATCAGGCAACGGATGAAAGAGTTGGTGACTCTGATACTGAAGAGAGTGGAACAGAGGAAGAACCAGATTTACACGATAATTTATTTTTCTTTGGAAAAGATAAAACCACTAGATGGATGAAAACACCGCGCGCGAAGAAGAGATACACTGAGACATAACCTGGTTACACGTCTCCTAGGAGTAATACATGAAGCAGGACTAGCTAATTTACATATTGAATGTGGGAGTCAGATATTTTCTGATAAAATGCTACAAACAATAGTCAAATTCACAAACCAGTACAATTATCTTGAAGTAATGGATCGCTTTGACTGATAACGTGATGCAACTGACACGAACATGATAGAACTCAAGGCCTTCATAGACCTTTTATATCCACCACTAACTATTCACGCCAACAAAATGATGTTAGAGAATCTCTGTGGTACAAATGGACACAGCGTAGAAATATTTCGACTAGTTATGAGTCTCAGAAGATTCAAGTTTCTTATGAGATGCCTGCGTTGTGATGACCGCATCACAAGACCCGAAAGGAAAGCTGTTGACAACATTGCGCGGATTCGTGAACTCTTCGACGATTTTGTTCATAATTATAAACATAGCTACTCACTAGGACAGTGTGTGACTCTTGACGAAAAACTGGAGGCTTTTAGTGGACGTTGCAGGTTCAAACAATATATCCCTTCAAAGTCCCAAATATGGAGTGAAAATTTATGCTATGTATGATGCAGTTACTTTTTTATAGTTATTGCATGGAAATAAATGCTGGAAAGTAACCCCAGCGACCCTATGAACAAAGCAATCAACCATCTGACGTCGTTAGAAGATTTTCACAATCTATTTATGGAACGGAACGTAGTATAACGGTAGATAATTAGTTTACAAATATGCAATTTATTACCGAATTAAAAAGTAATAGACTGCCATATGTTGGTACAATAAAAAAGGGGGTAGTGCCAGTAGATCTGCTAAGTGTAAAAGGACGATGACCACAGTCAAGTATGTTTGGTTTTGGAGAACAATCCACTGTTCTTTCTTACGTTCCAAAAAAGAATCGAAATGTTCTTGTTCTATATTCTCGGCATTGCGATGATTCCATAGATCAAACGTCAGGACAAGCTACGAAACGAGACATGATCACATATTATAATAAAACCAAGTCAGGTGTCGACGTTGTCGATAAGCTTTGCACTTCCTACAACGTTGCTAGAAACACACTCGTTGGCACATAGTCATCTTTTTTTCCATGATAAACGTTGCAGGCATTAATGCCCAAGTGATTTCAATCGGAAATGGACAGAAAATGTTTCTTCGGAAACGAGGTCACGAGTTAGACTTACCACAATTACAAAAAAAGAAGTCTTATGACACAAGGTATACCACGTTCTCTTTCTGAAGCGCTCAGCAGATTTAGACCAACGGAAGATCCCGATGAAGAAGTTGGACTAGTGGCTCAGAATGTAGCTCAAACAAAGTGCCGTCGCTGTGCTTTATGTTATACATCACGAAGGACCAGGTTGACCAAAATTATTTCCAAGAATTGTAAACAATATATTTGAGGCGAGCATACAATATCGTCTTTATTTGTTGTCCCAGTTGTGTTGATTCAGTTGTTTTATCTTTCTTGTGTATTGTTGAGTTTGGTTTTACGCAGGATAGATCTCAGTGTATAGACAGAATAGATCTCAGTCAAATATCAGTATGTTGGCTGTTTTGAATATTGTAACATTGTACTTGTTTCCTATGCTCTTTAGTTTGTAACGAAGTGCTACAACGGTATAAAACAACGGCTATATAGTATAAAAGGCTAACAACGGTATAAAACAGCGTACGTCACAAGAGATCATCGAGTTCTGCCAGAGTCCTGATCTGGTAAGAACTCCACTGGGTCTTTGGGTGTTGACTGAAGATCAACCGTCCGGAGTTCTATCATAGTGTTGATCTGGGAACAACTGCACTGGCCCTAGGGTGTTGACCGAAGGCCAACTGCTTTTGCTAGAGTGTTAATCTTGTAGCAACTCCTTACCGGTCTTGGAGTGTTGATCTGAGCCAGATCTGTTCCCTGGCTAGGTGTTGATTAGTGTTGATCGATCCGTCTAACTCTAACCCAGCATTCCTGCTCTTTAGCGTGAGTGTATTAACACACCGTAGTTTCTTTTCGATTTTTACGACATTAATTATATTTTGTATTAAACAGTGGGTCATCGAATAGCGCCGTCAATACCGTCGTTAGGATTCACATTTAAATTTTGTATATATTATCTAGGACATAATTAAATGTTGTTATTTATTTATTTCGAATATGTTTTTATTTAAATAAAACCTGAGTTTTATTAAATCTGCTATCTAAAAGACCTACCTGTTGCAAGGTTTTCTGATAAGCCCTTTACGTATGGTATTGTCACAGATTAACAGACCTTATTCTGTTAATCTGTGGTATTGTTGTCATTTTTGAGTCTACTTAATAAACATAATCGAAAAATAATACATAAAAGAAAATCTGAACATTTACCATCCATTGAAAGATCCCTTAATAGGAAGAAATCGTCCAGCTTTATAGCCAAGGCATCAATATCTTCGTCTTCTGTTATGTTCAAATCAAAATTGTCTTCAGTTTCTAGATTTGGTACGGTTTTTACTAATAATTTAGTTCCTCCTTTTCCACCAATTAAAATGGTTTCTACAGGACCTTTTTCACCTAAAATTATAACATGTATGTATATATTATAGGTTAAATTACAAGAAAATATAAAGAAAAATAATATTATCAAATTTAATTTGTATACAACTTTGCCTACTTACCAATATAAATTCCAGATCCACTACCTCCAGACATGGGGCTATTTTTTCCGGATACTAATAATGTTATGTTATTTTCATGTGCATACATTTGTTGAGCCTGCAATGCTAAAATTCAATGTTACATAATAAAAAAAATATCTATAAAAATATTCTCTATTAGTCTGTTTAACAAGAATCCTTGCTCTTAAAAGGCGATGATCGCTGCCAGTTGTGAATCCATTGAGAGCAGTTTTATCTTCAAAAATGTCTTTGTACCCACACAAAAAGTAATCGATCTCGTTTTTCGTCTGTTTATCGGGAGACATCTACGTCCATTTTCAGTTCGTTGGTTTCTTAAGTGTGTGTTTATGGCATATAAATTTTGTTGTTTTAAGGAGTTAAAACTTAAAACTCTATTACAAATTATACGTCCATGCAAATTATTAAATGATAAGGTTATTTAATAATTCGTAAGATTACTTATTTTATTTTCCTTGGTATGTTACGGTACAACTATCTTGGTTGTGGAAGATGTTTTAGTAGAGATTACTATCAAAGTTAATCAATTTCAAACATTAGCAAACTCTATAACCTCAGTTAAAACTTATCCTGGAGCAGATGTTAACTCAGACCACAATCCGCTAGTGGCTGACGTGAAAATACAATTAAAAAGAATTGAACTCAGAAAACAACAACCAAAAATTAACGTAAGAATGCTACAAAACGAAGAAATAAAAAACGAAATAAAAAATAATGTAAATGTTAATATGCAAAAAACTAACTGACAACAAACAAATTATGGATGTAAATAAAAAGTGGTGTAATATAAAAAAACACATTACTGAAACCAGCTCAATAAAGTTTAGTAGAACATAAATCAGAGACTAAAAAACACTGGATGACAGAAGAAATACTATTACTGATGGAAGAAAGAAGGAAATATAAAGGAAAAGATCTACAGAAGTATAAAGAAATACAACGAATAGTTAAGGAAAAGATCAAAACAGCTAAGGAAATCTATTTGATGAAGCAATGTAAAGAGATAGAAGAACTAGAAACAAAACATGATATGAGAAATATGCACAAAAAATTAGAGAAGTGACTGGAATGGGTCGAAATAGACAGCAAGGACACATAAAAGACAAAAAAGGAGTACTACTAGTAGATTTACCAGAGAAGTTAAGGCGATGGGAGGAGTACGTTAGAGAACTTTTCCAAGATGAAAGAGGTGAAATGCAGAAAATACAAGAATTAAATCCTTTAGAGATACAGAAGATCACGATAGATGAAATCAAATATGCTATCAAAAACTCTAAAGACAATAAGGCAGCTGGATTAGATGAAATACCAGTAGAACTGTTAAAACTAGTGGAAGAGGACAACTTGGAAGTATTGGCAGATTTATTCAACACGGTGTACGATACGGGAATAATACCACAAGAGTGGCTAAAGTCAGCATTTATAACCATCCCTAAAAAACAAGCAGCAAAAGAGTGCTCTGATTATCGAACACTGAGCCTCATGAGTCATACTTTAAAAGTTCTGCTAAAAATAATACATAAGAGAATATACGAAAGGCTAGAGGAGGATATTAGCGAGACGCAGTTCGGGTTCCGAAATGGAATGGGTACTCGAGAAGGACTATTTGCCATCAACATATTAATTCAGCGATGTCGGGATGTAAATGTTGATCTACACTTGTGCTTCGTTGACTACGAAAAAGCTTTCGTTAAAGTAAGACATGAAAAACTAATATCAATACTTATGAACAAGCGCATTGACAGTAAAATCATAAATATAGTGCAAACATTATATTGGAACCAAAGTGCCATAGTTCAAATTGATGGGCAACACTCAGAAGAAATGAGGATCTGTAGAGGAGTTAGACAGGGATGTGTGTTATCACCACTTTTGTTTAACTTATATTCTGAAGAAATTTTCCAAAACACGCTCAATAATATCGAAGCGGGAGTCACCGTTAACGGAAAATTAATTAATAATTTAAGATATGCAGACGACACTGTGATCATTGTAACGAGTGTAGAGGATCTACAACATCTTATCGAAAGCTTGAGTATAAATAGTGCTGAGATGGAATTACTATAAACGCTAAAAAAACGAAGTACATGCTGATTACAAAAAGGCCACAAAATATACATCACCTATTGACAATAAATGGTAACGTGATAGAACAAGTAGAAAAATATCAGTATTTGGGAACTTTGATCAATGAACCCAGAGAGCATACTGTAGAAATAAACAGGCGAATAGAGATTGCCAGATCAGCATTTATACGAATGAAGCCACTCCTAACGTGCAAAAATCTAAATTTGGAGATCAGACTACGTACCATTCGCTGTTATATATTTTTAATATTATTATATGGAGCTGAGACTTGGACATTAAAAAAATGTAATTTAAAAAGAATCGAGGCCTTCGAACTCTGGTTATACCGCAGATTATTGAAAATATCATGGACTGATAGAATTACAAATAAAGAAGTACTGGAGAGGGTTGGTAAAGAAAGAGAACTAATCACCACTATACAAACGAGAAAACTGGAATACCTAGGCCACGTGATGAGGGGACCAAAATATGAAATTTTGAGACTGATAATACAGGGACAGATTCAAAGAAGAATATCTGTTGTCCGAAGGCAGAACTCATGGTTAAAGAATCTACGTGATTGGTACCAATGCAGATCGATTGATTTGTTTAGAGCAGCAAGTTCTAAAATAAAAATAGCCATTATGATTGCCAACCTCCGTAGGGAGACGGCACTCTAAGAAGCAAAACTCAAGAAAAATAATGCAAAACATTTACCTGTTAAATACGGAAGTTCTGATATCCAATGATTTGGGAATAAAATATTTTTCACTTTTAAGTCTCTGGTCAAATTTAAAGAAGGCTGGTTAAATATAATATCAAAACAATTGAAAATTCCGAATGTTACATTATGTTTTGTTTTAATTGTAGTAATATCCATTTCTTTGGGTTTAGAGAGTTGATATTCCCCGAATAAATTCCATTTACGGTATCTAAAACGAAATATTATAATAACAAGTATATATAGGTATTATTAAAATTAAAACATAATGAAATAGGTACTCTATTCCCTAATCCATCTCTGTGCTTAACTCTAAAGGCGCGTACAGACCTACAAACGCATGTGGTGAGCAGCCACGAATACACATACGTGTGCGAATGTGGACGGCGCTTTCGTAACCTCTCGCCGCATGCGTTGCTTCTCGCGAATGACTTGAGCACACATGCTGCGAGCCAGAGTGGTGTCGGTTTTTTAACACACATCAAAGAAACATACGTGTGCGTTCGCGCCATCAAGTTAGAATCTATGGAGGAGCTATGAGCATATTAACGTATGTATTAAAAACGGCGTAGGTAGACGATAATACCAATATGGCGGTGGGATCAGGGCCAGACTCAATAATATTAAAACTACTATACAAATATAACTAGTTATTCAGAAGTTTAAATCATAATCTAAAAAAGTGTAACCAATTTTAATAAACTATGATTTATTTATCCCGCGGTAAACACTAAAAGCACGATATATTATACATAAATATAAATTAATACAGTCAAATACTAATTAATTTATTCTCTGAAGTACGGACCATTACTTTATTTACATATTTGTATACTAACCTGTGGAACGATATTCCTGAAAACTTTTATTAACATTGCTTCGGCTACTGCAACTACGTTGAGAATAAGAAACCATTATTATGCACTATCACAATACATTATTACAGTTTCTATAAAAGTATTATCAAATTAAAAATATTCGAAAAATAACAAATATAAACGATCTGTCAAAAGTGTCAAAACAATATTAACAATATGGCTGAAGTGAGGTCGTTTTTAGTCACGTGATGTCCTCTCCGTAGATTCTAACTCGATGGTTCGCGCTCAGTTTAGACGGATAGCGTAGAGATTTGTTGCATTTGCAAGACAAGTTCGCATTTATTGAGTTTTATTCATTTTATTGATTTATGTGTAAAATGGAGTGGTCAAATGAACAATGTTTGTAATTAATAGATTTTTATGAAGAAAACCCTATATTATGGGATCCAAAAAATAAGTTTTATTATTTAAAAACAAAAAAAGAAGATGCATGGGAGTCAGTTTCAAGAAATCTTGATATAGGTTCAGCAGTTGTGAAGAAGAAAATGAGCAGCTTACTTGGGCCTTTTAGGGATCAAAGGAGCAAATGCGAGAAGTCCGTGGGTACAGGAAAAGGTATTTTGTTTTTACAGTAAGTACAGGGTGTCCCAATTCGGACCTTTTTATAGGTTATTTCGGTTCTTATGGAAGATAAAGGATTGCGGTTCCTCAAACTTTTAATGCTGCAAACAAAAATGGACTACCAAGGTTTTTAAGATGCCGGATGAAAATAAAAATTAGTGTAAATATATAAATGTGGTACATCATTAAAGCGGTAATAAAAAAACCAATTTCTTGGGACAAAAAATTATAGAGTGTTCCCTTAATGTTATCAGTAAACGTTTCTTAACAGGTATGGCTTTTCTTAAGACCGTGTCGTTTTTCTTTATTACGGGGCCTATATCATTTAAAATGCGTTCAAAGTCTTCTACTGACATACGTGTAAAATTTTAAAATTGTCCAGTATTAGGTTCTAACGCCAAATCTACTAGTAAATCGGACTTCATTCGTGGAGTTTTTCTTTTAAATAAATGCGTCGTCTACCATCGCCTATTTTTCCTTTGTTTTTTCCTTTTTTAATGAACTAATAACAACAAACGCGGCACTAACCATAAGCAGCTCCTCAGACATTTTTCACGAATGGATGAAGCGCCTTGAAAACGCATACATATGCAGTGATTTCTAATTTCAACGAATGCTCTGAGCGCGAATGGTTTGAGTACGCACGCATTTGCGTGGCTTCTCACCGCATGCGTGTGCTAGTCTGTACGCGCCTTAACACAGACAAGGATCTACAGACCGAGAATTTGGCATCCAAATTCCACGATTTCGCGCAATCGTACTTGTAAGTTCGTATAGTCGGCTGGAGTTACAATTTGCCAAATTTAAATGTAATCGTTTCTACTCATTCATATTAATATTATAATGTATAATATATTAAAGTTTTTAATATTGGTAATATTATTAAAGCTTTTAATACTATTTTTTAATATTAATATTAATATTAAGTAATTAAATATTGCGCCTTGCTTAAAAAAAGTACGAGATAAATAACTCGTTTTTTACATGAAAGTGCAATTTTCTTGCAAATGCCTTGAGAGGGGAAATTTCCAATATAACACCAACCAAAAGACAAAAATATTAACTTAGGTACATGCAATCATTATCACTGCTTAGCGTATTTTCATGGAAATCAACCGCTGTGCTGACTAGTATTTTTTTTTTAATTGTGATGAATAAATAAAGTATATATTAAATAAAGGGTATTTTAAATATTCTTCCTCATTTCTCATTCCGAGTCGTGAGCGTATTCGTTATATTTTCTTTAATTGTGTTAAGCTACTCGGATGTAAGTCGTTGTTATAATTATTCAAAAAAATGAATTTACAATATTTTTTATTAAATCAAATGAGAAATGTTATAGCAAATTAAGAACTAAAGAAAAAAAACCAATTTTCATTTCCTAAATAGCAAATTGTTTCTGAACACTTAAGATTAAAACTTCCAAATAAAATTTGGATAATATTGTAAAGGCTTTTATATACTGAAATTAAATTAAAAAAGAACCTGAAAAAAGTGGAAAAATAATAAAAAATTCCCAAATTTAAATATATCTCGAAACAAAATACGATCTGGAAAAAGAATACCGGAAATGTTTAATTGTTTTGAGTTCTTCGATTGTGTAGTACCTTCAATTTCAGTTTTTTTATCAACAATACTCGAGTATTCCGATTAAGTACTCTCAGCCTTATAAAAATTTCCAAGAAATTAATATCGGATGAAGTCTCAACAAGCGAAATGAAAATCCTAATATTAAAACAGCATTATGACCAGGTACAATATCTGACTGTTATGCAAATTAGTAGGTAATTAGAATTAGAAAGTCAGTATTGGCAAAACCAGCTTATTCAAAATATAGGTACCTACCTTTAGTCTTGTATTGAAGGATTTTAATTTATTACCCTTAGCATACGTAAAGATATAAAAAACGAGTTATATTTATCTCGTACTTTTTTTAAGTAAGGCGCAATATTTAATTACTTAATATTATTATTAATATTAAAAAATAGTATTAAAAGCTTTAATAATATTACCAATATTAAAAACTTTAATATATTATACATTATAATATTAATATGAATGAGTAGAAACGATTACATTTAAATTTGGCAAATTGTAACTCCAGCCGACTATACGAACTTACAAGTACGATTGCGCGAAATCGTGGAATTTGGATGCCAAATTCTCGGTCTGTAGATCCTTGTTTAACACAGAATCCTGTATGGGAAGGAAATTTTAGTAGTGATCTGCTTAATTTATTTAATGCATAAAAATCTCATACGGATAGGAAAGAAGGTCCTAATATGGATTCTCTTTTTGTTTTTTCCAGGTATTTCTTTCTCTTTCACGATAATTACGTGAAATTTCACATAAACTTCCTAATATGGATTCCCTTTTTGTTTTTTCCAGGTATTCCTTTCTCTTTCACGATAATTACGTGAAATTTCACATAAACTTAAATTCAACATTTATTAATAATAATGAACAGTTTTACTTAAAAAACTTTTCGGAAAACAGACATTAAATATAATATAAATTTCGTGCAAATTGTAAAATTGCTTGGTTCATTGGAAATATGGGCCCCTAAGAAAAATCACACAAAAATGTTTTATTTAAAAAAAAAAACATAGTTAAAAACTTAGTTTAGTAAGTGTTTTTCTCAGCTTGCAAACATAGTTAATGTTCCGACAGCTTACATATAATCAGCTATATTATTTATCTATACATATAATTTTCAGTTTTTTCACTCGAATTCCCAGACTGCGCAAGGCATGCCAATGTGTTGTTCAGCGTATGAACTCGTCCAAAGGTGCCTTGTACGAAGAAGGGGTAGTTTTAGTTGATAGGCGACTGGTCAAGGATGCAATCCAAAGCTCCCCTTTCCGTCTGCTTGAAATCTCCTCTAACAAAATATGCACTCTGCATCTTGCTCGTCTATTGTATCTTACCTAACTTTGTTAAAGTCAACATCATCGTCAGCTGAAAAAGATTGTTCAGATGATGCAGAACTTCCTTCATTGCTTGTTTTGAATGTTTTTGATCACATCTAGATTTTTTTGGTAGTATTGAATCCTTATTTCCTAAATTTCCAAATGCTTTTCATTTTACGCTCTCAAGTCTTTTGCTTGGAGTTATATCAATGGAATCTTTTTAGTTTTGTGGGAGAGGAGATAATTATTTGCTTTTGGAATCTTTTCGTCCACGAGTTTGTTTTTTTAAGATTAGCACGGGGGATATTGCAAAAGGTGACACAAATCTATCTTGGAGTATTCTTCCTGGAGCATGACGTCGATGTTTCTATAGACTCTTATCAATGAATTTGGAGCAGGTAAGTTGTGGTATCATCAGCTTCTCTTGCAAAAAAAACACAAGCTGCTCCTTTGAGAAAAGATTTGTTGATTCCGCATCAGATCTTCTAAAATCCGCTTCATTTTCAGGTACAAAGAAATTTACCGATGGCATGTTACACATTTTTTCGGCTTCATACTATTTAGCTAGTAAGTCTACGTCAGAAAAAATATTATGGTCAAAAGGGTAGATTATTGTTATCCTGAATCCATTTACGGGATTTCTTTCGACTTTGACTTTAAAAATGCCTTACCTAAAATGACATTTTTAAAGTCAAAGTCCGCTCTTACAAGTCAAATTGTGTGAGAGTGCGTTGATTTGCATGAATAAAATTTCTTATTCTTCTTCAGCTTTAAGTAATCCAACTTTGGTCATAGGCCTCCCTAAAACTCAATCCAGTATTTTCTATTTTGCGCCAATTGCTTCCAGTTGTGTCCTACGATCTTCTTAATGCCATCAGCCCATTTCATTTGTGGTCTTCCTCTGCGTCTCTTTCCTAACCATGGTCTCCATTGCTGAATTTCGTGGTTTCATCTCTTATCCTTCAGTCGGGCATTGTGTCCTGCAAAGCTACATTTTAATTTAGCCACATGCTGCCATGCTGCCAACATTTCTTATTTTCTCGTTATAATACGCTGCCCATGTAGGTTTTATCAATAGATTAAAGCTTTTGTATGGCATGAATATGTAGGGGCATTATACAAACAAAATGTTCGACGCCAAAATAGGGTGTTGGGCTATTATGGCCATCAAGAGCAGGATACTCTTTTGTTGGTATCACAAAATTTATAAAATGTTTCATCCATTCTGTAAACAAATTGTATTTTATACAAGCACTTGAGTGAAGCGCATATATTGACTCAAGTGGAGCACCAAGGAGTAACTGGTCATTTCGATTGTTTCGAAAAAAAATCAACAGAGGTGGAACAAATTTACCAACAACACTCATTTCTCACTTTCGGTAAATGTTCTTCTTCCTCTTTATAAGCAATTCTGCTTGTTCATTAGCGGATTAATACTTCTATTGAAGGTTGTCACTCCATCTTTCGCGAGTTCGTCCGACACTTCTTCTGCCGATTGGTGACTTATATCTTGCTATTTTGAGTCCTTTTTCTATCTTGTGTCCATTTATTTACGCTGTAACTGTAACTGTAATACACTGTACGTTGCATTTTCTTCTAATGTCTTCACTTTTCTTTCAATCTTTCAGTACTCTCATCTCTACCGTATCCTGTAGACTTTGCGCTGTGACAGTGTCGGATCTTGTTTCTGAGGAATAATAGCCTAAAAATTCTGTATGGGCCCATAATAGCCAGATTATACACGGCCCCAATAAGATAAAAACATTTGTGATAGGTTCACATCGAGTTGAAATGCATATGGTGAATAAATATCAGAAATATGTAGAACTCACTAACGCCACTCTAACATATTTTTAAAAGATGGCGCCACCTGTCATGTCTAATATTTAATGGTCCCTTATTAACCACAGAGCTCATATTAGGACCTCCTCTAACACATAGTTCTGTATTTACAGAAAACTGTGTTCACGAAACTGCAAAAGGTAATTAAATACCGATGGCATCTTTAGTTTCTCTTCAGTTAAATATATTTCTTACCTTCCAGATAAATATCCGTTATTATCAAAGATAACTACTGTGTTATAATAAATTGGACTTTCACATGTCCCATTTAAAGTACAGTTATCTTGTTCAATAACGTTAATAGCAATAGAGGTATTTTTTCGAATCGCAGCACACGAAAATAGTTTCAAATATTCTTTAACGCTGGTTTCTGATGAGTTGCAAATTTTTTCAGATATCTTTGGAATGACTGTACTACTGAGAGATACATTCTCCTGATAGTATAAAGATTTTTCGGGAAACAGGATGATTTCTAACTCCTGAAATCAAAAATTTTAATGAAAACAGGTTTAAATAAACTAAAAAGGCATTTTAGAATTAAAGAAACTTATAATAATATTTTAAAATGAACTATGAATTAACCAAAATCTAAATATAAAATAAAAAATAAAAACCTTTTGTTTATTAGTTTAGTGACGATTTTTACAGTTTTGTGTTTGGTCTTAGCGAAGTGGTCTTGACAAAGTGGAGCGGTACGACAGACCGCTACAGATACAGAGCTCTACAGCCTTGTGAACAGACATACCCAAAGATCTTTCAATGTGCCAATATATTGTTAGTTAACCGACATACTTTATGTGACTTTAATTTGTAATGATATATTCCCTTCGGCAATCATTATAGCTATTCGGACTTTTGAGACGCCTGCTCTGAAAAGTTCATTTGATATGTAAATCCATACCACTCTCTCAGAATGCGCAGCCATGACATTCCACGCCTCCCTCTGCTTCTTTTTCCTTGGATCTGTCCCTGCATAATCAGTTGGAGCAAGGTGTATTTCTCTCCATGTGTAATATGTCCGAGATATTCCAATTTTCTTGTTTTAATTGTATTTAAAATTTCTATTTCTTTATTCATCCTTCTCAGAACCTCATTGTTTAGGACGTGTTCTTGAATTACGAACAGAATTGCTCTGTGACAGCTCAAATGATTTAAGTTTTTTCATTGATGTCGCATTCAAGGTCTAAGATTCCATTCCATAAAACAAAATCGAAAAAACATATCACCTCGCCAACCTAACTCTTACTTCCAATTTTAGATCTCTTGTACATAGCACTCTTCTTATTTAGTTGAAATTATCTGTAGCCCTTTCTGTTCTTATTTTAATCTTCTGAATGCACTCATTTGTGAAGTTAATCATAGTTCCCAGATATGCATATTTGTCCACTTGTTCGACGTTGGTTCCGTTTATTAGAAGATTCTCGTTATTGGTCATGATCAGTAACGCCGTTATTAGTTTCTAAAACCATGATGATTGTACTGGGGATATCCATAGGGATCTTTAATGTAGTGGTTTCCCCTTGTCTTCTACATCCTTATGCTGTTGACCAAGGTGTTGGTTTATTCACCTTCGAGACCGATTTCTCAACTCCTGGACAAAAGGCAGCTTTTCCGCGCTGCTGAAGATAAAATAAAGATTGCCATGATGATCGCCATTATTAGTAACGGATAGGCACATCAATTAGACACATCATAACAATGTTAGATATGCCGACGACACCATGGTGATAGCAGATAGTTTAGAGGGACTTCAGAGGCTAATGGACAGAATAAACGAGTACAGTCAACAGTACGGACTAAACATTAATACCCACAAAACGAAACAAATGATTATCAGCAAGGAGAATATAAATGGGGCTCATATATACATTAATGGGATGCAGATAGAGCGAGTAAAACAGTATTGTTACCTGGGAACTTTTATTAACGAACAGTGGAGCAATTTACAGGAAATAAAGTGCCGCATAGGAAAGGCAAGAACGGTCTTTAACAAAATGAGCGCCATCTTCAAAAGTCACAACATATCCCTTGATACAAAAATGAGACATTTGAGATGCTATGTTTTCTCTGTGTTGTTGTACGGGGCGGAGGCATGTACGCTTACAGACGCCACTATTAAAAAACTTGAAGCATTTGAGATGTGGCTTTATAGAAGAATGCTGAGAATATCATGGACAGCAAGGATCACGAACAAGGAAGTTCTAGGAAAAATGAAAAAGGAACCAGAGATTGTGTTTACGATCAAATGCATAAAATTGCAATACCTGGGACACGTTATGAGAAATCAGCACCTTTACTCCCTGCTACAGTCTATATTGCAAGGTAAAGTCAAAGGTAAGCGAGGACCCGGTAGAAGGAGAATATCATGGCTGCGGAATTTAAGAACATGGTTTAAGAAAACCTCAACGGAGCTGTTTCGAGCCGCAGCGAGCAAGGTTTTGATTGCCAATATGATTTCCAACATCCGAAACGGATAGGAACTAGAAGAAGAAGAAGAAGGCACATCAATTCTTTTGCCCTGAGCCGTTGATTAGCAAGTGCGAGATGGATTATATCGGCAATCGGTCGGTGAAATTTTCGCCATATCTGGCTACCTTCACTTTGTTCAATGAAGAAAAGTAATGGAACCAAGAATATGTAATGCATCCAATCTTCGTATTGTTCTAATTCTAAAAAGAGTAGATGGCTATTGTTATAATATATCATTATTAGGTAACCCGGAATACTATCGAGGGCATGGTTGGTTACCTAAGAGATGATCATTATGATCGTCATGTCATGGTATTATTAACACGTGTGTATTTAATGGATCTTAAAATATAAGATGATAAAAAGCCTGTTGTAGAGTTTAATAATATTCGAAATATTAAGAAACTAACATGTGATTTAACAACAAGCTCCCAAAAAACATAAATAATATCCATGCAACCTTAATCCTTTGCTAATTCTAACAAAAGATTTTTGACAAAATAGAAAAAGGGATACAAAAACCATCGAGCAATAAGACAAAAGAGGGAATGTAAAGGTAGTGGAGGCAAACATGTTAGACAGGAAGTGCGATCTTTAGAGGCCACATTAAACAAGGAAAGAGAGTCTCTCTCCTTGTTTGACATCAAATTTAGTTGGGTTATGTTATTGTTTGTCCCAAATGACACATGAAATCTTATTTATATTGAAGTTTTTTAACAATTGTGTCGCATTTTAGACTATTATCATTAATAATTAATTGAAACTTTCTCGTCTAAGACACATTCTGAAAAATATTATATAGCTACTGTTGATAAGTGTCGGAAAATTTAAATTTGGCGCAATCACATTTCCGGATATGTCCGCCATCAGAGGCCACTTTTTTGGTCTCCTTTTCATAAGCATTAGATTCCCTCTTTTGTCTTATTGCTCGATGACAAAAACATAAAAAGGATCATATATGAGAAGATTTACAAAGATGAAACAATTTTAAATCATTTTATGGTATAATAAACAAAAAATTTACAGAGTAGGTACGTATCTGTCGTTTTTGACAAATTGTAAAAAACTGCTTAGATTTTTTTTGTTTAATAAAAATCAGTAATATAATTACTATTTTAGTACTACATATTAACAAAAACAACATAAACCAAGGCTATAATTTTTATTACTACACTTCAAACTATGTTAGTAAACTTACCTCAGTTATGCTGTCTAAAATACGGATGTGATCTTTTGCTCTCCACATCACACGTTCATCAACTGACCAACTATAATTAAGAGAATCGGCATGATATTCTATAATTGCTGCCGTGTAGTTAATAACATCAGCAAACTAAAATAATAACAGAAAAGACAGTTACATTTTTAACATCGTCCGTTTTTCCTTACAAAATTATTGAAGGCACAGATTGGTTTCTTCGGATTCTTGCTTCAGATTTCTGCGTTCGAGATTTAAAATAAAAAAAAATTGAGTTATACAGTAAAACTTCTGTAAACGGACACATCTCCACAACGGACAAATCTTCTGAACGGACAGTTTTTAGGTCACTGAACATTTCATATGTGAGTAAATAGGAAGACACCTCCGATCAACGGATCCTGTTCACAATGACTCACGACAAAATTTGCCTTTAAATTTTGTAAGAAATTATTGTAATTTTACCTGCCAACCACGGACAATAGATACCTCTAGAAATAATTAAATCGATCGAAAATATATACCAAATTAACACAATAAAGGTCAATTCAGACACATCAGTCCCGTCATAGTCTCGGCGCCGAACCGGTCCTGTTTGGTCACAGGACTATCAACTATCTGACAGCTGGGAAACTGTTTGTCAACTGATGAGTGTGAATGCCGGTAACATAATTTGTATTAAAGAATATTTTGTATGACGGATTGTTCGGTTCGGCGCAATCACTGTGACGAGACGTGACTGATGTGTCAGAATCGACCTTAGACAGGTAAATTCCCTGAGCCCTTTATTGTTTAATAGAATTTAGCCTCTATATTCTTTGCTTTTACATTTCGTAATGAAAAGAGCAGACTGAGAATAATTCTGTTAAGGAAAGGCTGACCGTATTATTGTGTGCAAATTTAAATGGAGAAAAAAGAAAACCCTTTGGTGATTGATAAAAGTAAAAAAAAATAATAAAAAAGTAAAATGTTATAAAAAAAATTATGTTGATAAACTTTAAGTCGACTGGTACTACAACAAGAAGGCGTGGATGACCAGAGATATCATGACAGATTGGCTGCAAAAATTTGGCCCGGATTTGGCAGGACGAGAGTATAAAGTCCATAAAACATAGCATACTGAGGAAAAGAGAGAGACATTATATTGCAAACGGATGGAATGAAAACATGGTTTTATAGATGGAGCGGATCTTGTGTTTTTGAATATGTTTGTGAAATGCGAATTAAATGTTTCAAAGCCAACTTAAGTTGAATACTTGTTTGTTCTTTTTCTTCTTGTTTTTATTAATTTCTATATTAGATGATATTAGATCATTCGCCAATACATACATTGTTTGTTTTGAATAGTTAGGTTAAGTTTATGTGTATATTCTTCTATTCTTCAAAAATCTCAAACCATAACATTTGTATTTCTCATTCTCAGACTACTTATACCTATTTTATTTTTAGATGACTAACGATCAAATATTCTGTTTGAGAGAGGTTTGTAGCAAACATGGGTATAAACAAAATTGGTAAAAGTTAGATAGACAAAATGTAATCTGAATTGCATAACTGTATGTACCTCTAACTCGTCTGTATATTATAAAAACTAAATCCTTTAATCCTTATTATGTAAACAAATTGTAATATGGATAATTATAAAAAAAAGTATGATTCCGTACAAGATTTTAAACTTACTGTTATAGTAGGGATGATCAAAATATTTATTACTGCCCAAATTTGAAACATTTTTAATTTCAACTTAATTATTATAATCATGTACAGTACGTAAACTTTTATATCTAAAAGATCTTTATTTCATACTGATAAGTAAAAGATTTTTAATTACCTAAACCTTGCATTAGATAAAGGTCAAAACGGTAATCAGAACCGGCTTAGCCCTTCATTACGATTCTTCTGCATACGAAATTGTATAATATAGTATGTATATAGAAATTATGTATCAAATCAATTGTACATGTACAACTTTTATATTCTATACAAACGATGTCTCCTGCATTTTTTCACTGATGAAAAAAAAAATTCGTATACCTACATATTTCCAACCAACCATATGAGAGTAAGCACCCAACTATTTGGATAGAGTTGAGGCGACTGTCTGTCGCGTCTGCACGTCTTCGAATTTCCCTACCTTAATCCAGAAATGCATACTTACTTGTTATTAACAGAAATAAAGAAAATACAGAAATCTTTGTGATAATTGATTCCGTTTTCCAGTTATTCAACGTCATATTTTTGGATTTTTGTATTCGATAAATAAAAGTCTACTTTCGAACAGCCATACTTTTATTAACATTAAGTTTATGGTAATAATAGAAAGTGAATCTCTTTGTTTTATAAGCTTTATTTTATATTTAAATAGTTTTCGCAATTAAATCCAAATTTTTTGAGTTATTTGTCAAAAACTGTTTAAAAACATGGTTTTTTGATGTGCAATTTGGGAACTTTCAGTCACGAATAACTCCAAAATATTGACTTTTCGAAAAAACTCCAAAGTAAACATTTTTATCTTAAAATTCACTATTCCAGTGACTACTATGGTTTTTTTTATATTCTTTTTTCCCCCCGAGTTGGGGTGGTAATCACAATTTCAAGCAAATCGGTGCATATAAAAAGAATTCTCAGCAAAAAAACGGTCATATCCTGGAATAATTATTAACAATTTCCGCAATCTGTTCCGTAAAATAATCCGAGTCACTAATAGCTATGCAACCAGTTACTCTATTTATGTGACATCTAGAGAGTGATGTCTAAACTTAGGACTAAATTACTTAGTTTTATTTACGAGTAAATGTCATCAGTAAAGGATTAAAGTAAGCCGGAAATATTCGGTAAAATAATAATTCGTTTAAAATATTACTTTTTAAATCGTGTCACAAATTAGTGTTGTGTTCTGAAATTTCAAAAAATGCCAACCCCCAGTAGTTATGTACCACTGTAACTTTTGCAGCCACAAGTTAGTGTTACTCGAATTTCTAAAAAATAAACTAATCCTATCACCACAACTATAAATGTTATTGTTGTAAAATGTACCAACTTATTTTAATTCGTTGGAATAGGACAAATCGTTTGCTGAAAAGAAGTAACAAAAAGTGTTTCGGGAATTCAATTCGGACTTTGTGGTGTGTTTCAGTTAAACGATAAAGTACCTTCGGAATTACTGGACTGCATACTCTCAATAGTTTTGGTATTAATTACTGGACTACACATGTTTAAACATTTTGTTTTGCTGAAAACTTAGAAGTGATTTAGTGTCAATTTGTTTTAAGGATTCCCCAAACCGACGCGAAACTTTCGCAGCGGAATCGCGGCGAATCGTAAGGCACGGCGACTTAATGCATGTGTTCAGACAAGTTCGGACGGAAACCGGAACGGTCGCGGCAGAACAGCGTTGACGTTTCATGAAACGCTGCATGCACGGTTTTTTCCGCTGCAGTTATAGCAAGTTATAGTTTCGCGTGAATTATTAAAATGGCTGTTACAGAAAAACTAATTGAAATTGTGAAACAATATCCTATAATTTATGATTTAAGTGACGAAGATTATAAAAATATAAGAAAAAAGGATAAAGTCTGGGATAATATAGGGTCATTTCTAGGAGAAAATGGTAAGTTTTCATGATATATTATATATAATGAATTTAATAGTGCTCCGCCTGCGAATGTTCCGCAACGGTTTCGCGTCGGTGTGGGGAATCCTTTAAGGTCGATTCACACACATCAGTCACGTCACAGTCACGGTACCGAACCGGTCCTGTTTGGTCACAGAACTATCAACTATCTGACAGCTGGCAAACTGTTCGTCAACTGATGAGTGTGAATGCCGGCGCCATATTTGTATTAAAGAATATTTTCTATGACGGATTGTTCGATTCGGCGCAATCACTGTGACGAGATGGTGACGAGACGTGACTGATGTGTCTGAATCGAGCTTTAAGGTTATATTGATATCGCGTCTGCAGAAAGTAAAGCCTTGGATGTATTTTATTTTGTTGTTTGGACATAACAGCAACTTGGCAAGTATTTTCCAATTTAACTGCATGCAAAACCATTCGTATAATTTTCACTGTACGCAAAATAGAGAATTATAGAGACCTTGATGTCGCCAAATAATTTCGAGTATTCGACATATTCCGTCCCACTTCTTTTAACACGCCATTATTTTCCTTTGATACAGTAAAATTCAATATCATTACTGAACATAAAATACAGGAAATTAAATATTTAGTATAGCCACGGAGTAGTGGCTATACCGTATTGAGGAGACCTAAAGAGGTCGAAACACGTATATGCGGCTTGTCGCTGCTCTGTATCGAATCAAAATCTAATACCGTCATTATGTTTTATTTCTTTACTTCGTTTGGAGTACCAGAAATCGAATTCACTATGAATATTGGCCAAGATGAACGGCATTTGGAATGCAATTTTAGATTCCCTTGTCGATTTATTCATCAAGCTGTTTGCTTCGCAAGTTTTAGGAAGCACGGTGGCTGATATTTGAATTCGATTTCGCCGGGTAGAAATCGTATGATTTCTCTTTTTGTTCTTAGATGGCGTAGTTACGTCTGGACATAGTTATTTTTAATAACTATGGCCTACGACGGTAAAATATTTTGGTTCGATACGGAGTAGTGGCTATACCGTACTGAGGAGACCTAAAAAGGTCGGAATACGTATATGCGGCTTGTCGCAGCTCTGTATCGAATCAAAATCTAATACCGTCATTATGTTAAATATTTTTACTTTTCAAGCGATCGGAATTAAATATGAACGCCCCACTGTTTGAGGCCCACTGATCATATCTTAATTACATATCGGCCGTCATGTCATAGGGTAAAAGGATCATATAAAAATCTTTAAAAAGTTTAAGGGAAGCGGGTAGAAAAAGACTATTGCAAGCACCTTTACAAAAGGCAATTTATTAAACTTTGGTAACAATTTGGATTATACATAAACAATACTATATTCTAAAATTACTTTAGAGTGTAATAAACTTACGGCCATTAATAGTATGTTTTTAAGAAACAAGTGTATAGGAATGAAATTTAGATTAAAACTGGCATACAATATAATTTCAAGAGAATAACTTTTATAACAATGGAATGGAATTTTATTATCACAGAACTATCGAATACTTTGAATACGTTTTATACTTGCTATATATCCACTACTTTTAAATTTAACAAGAAAAATAAATTATTTTTAAAATGAGAATTTTTCCTTTAGGTACCAATCTATAATATAATGTTATAATTTACATAAAACCCTTCATTTCCTCTCATAAAACTTTTATCGTGCTTTTAAAAAATATACTTTGATTAAGAGTGCTTTATTTATTTCTGTCAAACTATGCATACAACAAAAAAATAAAATAATGTTGAATAAAACAAAAATTCAAAATATATTAGAGAAATATATTATAGGCATGTCAATACCGATTTCAAGCATCTGAAGACACGTCCATGACAATGACTCAAGTGGAACTGGACGGGCCATGTGGCCAGAATGAATGACGGGCGGTGGACCCGAAAATTACAGTGTGGAGACCACGAGCAGAGAGAAGCAGAGGTAGACCACCTACAGGATATGCAGACGACGTCAAATAAATCGCTGTAAGAAACTCAAGACCGACTGTACTCCGGAGAAGAATAAATTGGAGGAGGAATATTGTTTAACTTTGGACGCAGAACGCTAGATGATAATGATGATGATCGATTTTAAGTATGAATATTACCTACTCGAGGTAAAAAAAATAATGAGAGTGGGAGATGTCCAGAATAATGATTCTCTCGTACTACGAAGATAAAGAGATGAACCACCCAGGTTTTACAAGAACCCATTTTAGCAACGTAGTCAATCGTAGCTGTGAAACAATAAATAGTCTCATAATAGCAAACAATACTAACTAACACTTTGCAGATATGCCAATAACTGAATGCTGACCTGTAATATTCCGCAATCTCATCGTAATTAACTTTTGCTGTGCACTGAAATCGTACAGCTCATTAGAAGTTTACATGATTTAGTTTTTTCTACATTAAATATCTAACACAACATTAAAGGTACCAAAAAGAAAAGCTTCTCTTTGCCCTTTGTACCTAAAGGCACAATATACATAAGAAAAATTCAATGTTAACAAAAATATTGCTATTTATTAATATTTACAGGATTTCAGTCTCCAGTCTTCTTGTCTTATTTCGAAGTTCCCAGGACTTTCTGTCAAAATATAGTGCCTGGGACATTTAGAAATAAGTACAGTTTTTCTCAACATTCGGTCCCAATGTTTGTCTATAATAATCAAATTGAACACATAAAATATAACATACATGAAATAATGTAAACACCTTACAAAATATTTTGTATATGATAACTTAAATTCTTTTAGCCATAAACATTTCATGTCCTTGTGCAGGAAAGCTAATCAACTATGATTAATATACACTGTTTAAATGTCTCATATATTTTTTAATTAGATGGAATGATTTCAAAATTTTTGATATTGATAATTTTCAAAAGATATTGATGAAGGCAGAAGATGTTTTTAAACGACTACACTGGGATGACTTGGGAATTAATATAAACGGGCAAAATCTGAATCATTTACGATATGCTGATGATATTGTATTAATAACAGAAAAAAGTGAAGAATTACAAAGAATGATGGAAGAACTAGATAGAGAATCGACAAAAATTGGACTCAAGATGAATTATAGTAAAACAAAAACCATGACTAATCAACCAGAAGAACTTATGATTACAGTGGCACAAACAAAAATAGAACAAGTAAAA